CCCCCCCCCCCCCCCTCCCTCCCACACAGACACGGGGCGCTCACACACAACACCCGCATGTGTGTGTGTATCTATGTGTCAGGAGGTGAGGGGCAATCTCGAGTTCAGCGATCTGTTCAAGGACCACCCCAACCTGCGGCTGTACAACATCTTCCACCCACACGACCCTGTGGTACGATCCATTACAGGCACAGGCAGCACACATGGAGAGATGCACGCGTGTGTGTATTCATGACTCGCCCACGCCATGCGCACCCGTCTGTCTGTCTGCAGGCGTTCCGTCTGGATCCGATCTTCTACAGCGCCTCGTCGCTCAACCCCGAGCTGGAGCCCCTCCTGCTGCCCTTCTGGCGAAACAACGGACACAGGGCATACAAGGAGTGGGAGAGAGGCGTGCAGGTCAGGTGCACCAACAACCCAATCACCAACCTGTCTGCCTACCGGTATACACACATACACACACGTGGGTGTCACTGGTGTGCAGGTGGCCAAGAACGCCCTCATCCAGACGATGTCCGACTTCACGACGAGCGTGACGAAACAGTTGTGGCCGTGGGGCTCCGGCTCTCGCGACCCTAATGCCGACGACATCTCGCCGCAGCACAGAAGTGGGGTATCTGCACCAAGAAGAGCGCACATGCATTGGTGATGTCTGTCTGTGTCCTCGGGGGTGACTGTACGGCTGCCTGCAGGTCGGCTGGACGCCAACATTGACATCGACGCCAAGGGCGACGAGGACTCCTCCTTCTGGACATCCACCACAAGTCAGCCCACAAGCCACACCAGCGCCTATCATATCATTCCCCTCTCTCTTTGCCATGAATCAAATCAGGTCACGTCACCAAGGTCGACTGGTCGCAGAAGCTGCGGGCCGCCTGGAGCGGCATCGGCGACTTCTCCAAGACTGACTCCGCCACCATCGCACGCACCGGCCCCCTCAGCAGACAGAAGACCGCCGGAATGCGGCGCAACAACCCTTTCTCAGCCCGCAGGAAAAGACAGACCCAGAACCTCGCCCTCCAAGGCTCACCCTCGACACACACGCCATCGTCTGCGGCCGACGACAAGACGCCTAACTCGCCCAAGCTGGCCCTTGTGGCGGGTACGCAGAACCTGCTGGACGACACGTGGGATTGGGTCAAGACCGCCACACAGACGGCCACACACTCGGCCAAGCAAGCGCTGGGCATGGAGGGGGACACGGCAGCATTCCCGGCAGCGTCAGAGACCGCGACACTCGAGAGTGAGGCGACGGCCCCACCCACGCCCACGCCCAGCCAGGCATCAGCCATGCATGGGCATGGGGCGGCGGGCGTGGTGCCCAATCCCGGGCTGGAGGGTCAGCCGTTCGTGGGTGCGGTGCTGCCCAACGCAGACGAGGTCCAGATGGACCCGGCGACCATCCCTGCGCTGCGATTCGACCACTCGATGCAGGAGCACACGACGGAGCGGTTCATCACGTCTCTGGCGCTGCTGCAGTCGCACTTCTGCTACTGGACGAGCAAGGACGTGAGCTTCTTCATGCTCAAGATACTCAACGCCTACTACCCACAGATCAGCTACCCAGGTCAACTCCCAGGCGCCCTCGAGCACACAGATGTCAAGAATGCAGCACTGTGTTCATCTGCAGCCTGTCTGTGGCTGTGTCTACGGATGTCTGTCTGTGTCTGTCTGGCTGTGTAGATTATCTGGTCAAGGTAGAGGAGGACAAGAAGGCCGAGGCTGAAAGGGCGGCACAGGAAGGTCAGCCGACACAGAGCCCGACAGCCACCAGAGCGTCCACACACATAGGGTTTTCCTCCTGTATGTGTGATTACTATTGTGCAGCGAACAAGGCGGAGCAGGCACGGCTGCAGAAGGAGGCCAAGCAGGCCCACGCACAGTGGGAGGACGCCACACGGCGAGAGAAGGAACATGCCCTACAGGTGCCCATCCACCCAGCCCACCCACACAAACACTCACACATGCTGGGGGAGACAGCCCTTTCACCTTTCTGCCCGCCCCGCCCCATGTGCGTGTTGATATCAGGACCAATATCTGCGCATGGATCGCGACTCATATTCCCTCAACGTGCAGCCCCCACCGGGCACTGGCATTGCAGAGGGCGACTCCCACGGCCTGCCGCCCCCTCCTCGCCACATCAACATCGTCCAGCGGGTCTCACTCGACACGCCAAAGCCGCCCAAGAGCCACCCCTTCGCCATCTCGGTGCCCTTTCCGCAGCCGGCGCACTCGGACACCGAGACCGAGGCCGACCACCACGAGCGGCTGTCTGCCCGGGGTGGGCGGACGGCCAGCGACGGGGGACCTTTCGGCCGACACAGTGAGGAGGAGGTGGGAGAAGTGGACGATTTGTATACGCGCGAGAGGGAGAGGGAGAGGGAGCGGGAGCGCAAGTCAGTCGACTTCTTGTGAGAAGGGTACATAGAGCGGCGCTGCATGCCCCTTGCACACATGTACCAGACTTGTGAAGGTGTGTAGGTGGGCCCTGTGTGTGTGTAGAGGGAGGGGGGCGGGGCCTTCGCGAAGGCGACTGTGTAGCTGGGAGGGAGGGAGGGGTTTGACTCACTTTCTGTGTCGATTAGCTAGCTGGTCGGACCGTTTGAGAAGTTTCTTTTTCGTCTGTGTGTGACTGACTGGTCCACATATTCTGAAGTGGAGATGGCTATCGCAAGGTCAAAGAAGTCCAAGTCATTCGAATATAAAATGTAGGCAGCCATCCTCCCTCTTTGACTGACTGACTGACAAACTGACTGACTGACCCCCGTCAAAATCGATGCACGCTCACTGTCTACAACATCGCTGTGCTGCGACAGGTGGCCACCTGCAGACAGGCAGACACACAGAGAAATAAGAAAACACTACACACATACAGAGAGAGAGAGACAGAGACAGAGCGAGAGGGACACAGGTTGAAATAGCCATATGGTTTCGTGGAGGCTCACACGTTCCTGAGCTACCAGCAGGTCGCCGTACTTGGCGCGCACCGCGGCAATGCCCACAGAGGCGTAGGGCAGCAGTCTTGTCTCGCGCCACTCGTGCGTTGTAGCGGTCCCGATAATGATGGGGAGGTATCCCATGGACCGGTACATGGCGTACTCGGCCGGCTCGAAGGGCCGGGCGGCGGTTGACCATCTCCAGCCCGCCACCGGCCAGACTCGAGAAGGCCTCCAGTTTGCGGGCGTGACGACCGTCGATGATCCACCCGATGACCACATGGCCCCTGCACGCCAGGTGAATCCCGTACACCAGGGTCGATCATCGAAGCAAAAGCGAGGCATCATTCTGCGCATTCCTTCTTGTCTGTGCTCCTCCTCACCACCGTGTGCCTTCTCTCGTGCTCGTCCTTTTGGCTTTTGCCGCTCATTCCTAGCATGGTGGCCATGATGTTGTCTTTCTCTTTGAGGCCTGGCACCTTGATCTTGACCTTGAGGGCCTGGACCTTTTTTTCGTACTTGGTCTTGAGCACATCGCCGAAGCGCTCTAGGAGGTTGTCTCTCAGGGTGACCTGCAGAAGGGACACACAGAGCCCACTTTCGTGTCTCTATCCGTCCATTCATGCCTTGCCTTCTTTCGGGGGACGTGTGCTTCCTTCACATCGGCAGTACATTCTTTCCCGCCTTGTCACCATTGATGGCCTCTGAGGACACACACACACACGCACACACAGACAGAGAGAGAGAGATAGCTTTTGTTTTCTTGAAGGCTCACCATTCCACAGCTCTGCGACCTTGAGGGTTTTCTCCTCTTTGTTGGCGGCCGTGGCGGTGATCTGAGCGAATCGAAAGCAAGGCATCTTTGTGTGCATCCCTTCTTCTCTGTGCTCTCCTCGTCACCTGTGTGCCCCTTCTTGTCGAAAACCCCCAACACTTCCTGCAGCCCGATGCTCGGATGGGCGGCCAGCAGAGCCTGCACTCGCTGTGCTGCGACACCGGTCAGCACAGCCAATATGGGCCAGCTCATATGAGGCCGGTCATTAGCTGGGTCTGCGGTCAGCCAGTGAGTGAGGACGAAGCCCACAGCGCAGCCGTAGGTTCGATACTCGAATGAGCCCCACCCCTCCTCCCCGCTTTGCACATGTGTGGGCGGGCTTGCCGCGTCAAAGGTGTCATTGAAGAGGGCCTGCGTGAGTGCTGGAGGGACAGAGGGGCAAGAACTTGAGGGCGGAGCCGAATTCGCCCGCCGTCTGAGGCTGCCGATGTGCCTGGACTGCCCGGCCAGGACATGAGGAACAAGCGGCTGCCTGAGGTCCACCCAGCAAACGACGGTACGCCTCCCCAAATCTCAGGACATCCTTGCCGCTCTCCCTGGATGGTGGCCATGATGTTGTCTTTCTCTTTGAGGCCTGGCACCTTGATCTTGACCTTGAGGGCCTGGACCTTTTTTTCGTACTTGGTCTTGAGCACATCGCTGAAGCGCTCTAGGACGCTGTCTCTCAGGGTGACCTGCAGAAGGGACACACAGAGCCCACTTTCGTGTCTCTATCCGTCCATTCATGCCTTGCCTTCTTTGGGGACGTTCCAAAAGACGACGTGCCATGCTGATCGATCGGTACAAAGAGACAGATACGCACGTGCATCATAAGCGCATGCTCGTACTTACCGTCCACCATCTCGGGCGAACAGCCCAGGTCGCCTCCCTCTAGCTGCTCCTCGGCCTTCGACTCGTCGTCATCGGGCATCCAGTCGTGGCCCTCGTTGTCGGCGAGGCAGTCCTCGTCCTCGTCTTCGAGCAGGTCACGCATTTTGCTTCCCGCGTTGCCTCGCGTCGAGAGGGCTGTGGAACCATAGCTACTGCTGACGCACCCGCACGAAAATCGGTGTCCCCTCTCTGATGGCTGAACACGGCCTGATGCACGAATCCACAGCGGCATCTCAGTGCAAAGCGCATGAGTGCCTTCGTCTTTCTGCTGCGTGTGTTGCGCGTACCGGCAGATATGGTGATGTCGGGCATCAGGTTGGGCGACGACTCGTCTTGGTCTCATCGCTGAGAAGACAAAGAAAGGAACGGCCGCCATGTGAGCTGTGAGCTGGTTGTGCCGCTTTGTGTCACTGGTGACCACTGACCACCCTCCCTCACAGCATGCAGTGCATGAGTACGTGAATGGATGCTCTCTGTCTTCTTCGTGCCTTTGTCGTGATCTTCGTCGTCCCGTCAGCAGCAGCTAAAGCAGCAGCAGCAGATGCCCCACCGGAGCAGCCATCCCACCAGAAGCAGCCGCGCGGCACGCTATTCGATCGTGAAGGGAGGATAAAAAGAGATATTGACGCTCTGTCTCGTCATCGCGATTTCTCGCCACAAAGGTCAAGCTCGCCCTCATCGGGTTATGTTCCCCACACCAGGGTGAGCGACTTTGGGTGGTGGCCCTCGCACATGACATTCTGGCTGGACAGATTCATGTCATCAGAATCGCTTCATTGACCCGAGATCTGGCGGTTTTGCCGTCCGGTGCTACGTCATGGTCACCGTCTGACGCCACATCTGCGTCATCCCACATCACCTACGCAATTTGACAGCCGCCAGGGAGAGCCCATGAGCAAGCCAACGTGACGGCAGCAGCGGAAGCGACGATGGCGAGTGAGCATATTCATTCCGCCGGTGCACCGCTGTCGGCTGCTGAGGAGGGCTCTCGGGATCCAGCTATGCAGGCGGGCGAGGCGGCCACTCCATCAACAGAAGCGTGTCAGGGCGGCCGTTCATCTGTCCTTACTCCGCCGGCTCATTCGGTCTCTCATGCATCAGCGGCCTCGTCGACTACTAGCCTGTCTGCGGCCGTCGTCATCCCCAACCCCAACCCCATCCCCGCACCCCCACCCCCACACCCACAGGGGCAGCAGGGCGATCAGACCCCTCCTGCCGGCCACGACCTGCTACTCAACCGCGGTGGCAAGCGGCAGAGGACAGGTCGGGGCCGCGGCCGGCCGTCGGCGAGAGAGATAGAGGCTCAGGAAGAGTACACGCCCGAGCACGACTTGGCTGCGGCGGGGCATGAGCCGAGGGGTCGTGCCGGTAGTCGTAGTGGTGCTGCGGAGGAACACCAGGCCCTCAACCCAGCCACCCAGATGTCGTCCAAGGAGGAGGGCAAACAAGTGAGTGAGGGAGAGGGTGAGGGAGAGTGAGAGTGAGAGAGGCCGCCTGCCCACACACACAACAATCGGATCCCGTCTGTATGTGTGTGTAGGTCACCGAGTGTTTGAAGGAGTATCTGCCCAAGAAGCCCAACGGCAGGCCGGCACCCCTGGGCCTGCAGATGGTGAAGAACAAGGGCGTCCGCATCGAGTTCAACCATCAAAGCAAGGGGAGGATCTGGGGACCCACTCACAACTTCGAGCAGTTCCAGTCAGTCAGACCCGCCTTCAAGGCCGCCTGTGAAGACCGCGAAAGGTAGGCACACACATACATACACACACGTGCCCCATCCCCCACGCCAATGTGAATGTCTGTCTGAATGTCTGTCTCTGTGGATGTGTGTTTACGTCCATCAGATTGTGCGTGACATCTGGGGTTCGAAGGGCAAGGCCCACCAGTTCCAGTTGCTGCCCAGCTGGGAGACTGTCGTCGACCACTCACACCAACCCTCCACCACCCTGGCCATCGAGACCGACCGGGCCAAGCGGGTGCCTCAGCAAGGGCCACCGCAGATCATGACAGATGTGTCTCGTGGTTGCTCCCCAGCTGCTGCTGCTGCCAATGGTGGTGATGGTGGTGGTGGTGCGTCATCGGGCCCGGCTGTCGAGTCGTGCAAGCGCGACTTCATGCTCATGAGGACCGACCCCCGGACGATATTTTCACGTCTGCCAGAGGGCGTCAAGACCACCTTCGCCCTCGGCGGCACCGACCTCATCACCGTGACCATTGGCCCCTTCCAGGATGCGGGTGGTGGCGACTACTACGTGCAGGGCACAGCGACGCCACGCCAGAGGGGCAAGAAGGGGTGGAGCTTTTCCCAGGACCTCAGCAGCAAGATAGTGGCTGCGCTGGGGGGATACGCATCATCGCTAGCACGTCTGAGGCCCCTCGACTACCACTTCATTGAGGGGCCGGGGGGCGTACGCATCATCGTGGACCGGAAGGATTAAGGCCACGGTAACTAACGACAATCCAGCACACACAGACGGGTGAATCTCATGAAGGGCCGGGTGGCATCGTATCTGTTGGTTGTGCAGGAGGCGGGGAGGGAGAGCCAGTGGAAAGACAGCAGATGGGTGGTGACGACATCAAGCCTGCTGGTGTGCGTGGCGGCGGTGGTCTGCATCCGTTCCCTCGTCCGATGGCGCCACTGCGCGGTCCCCGCCCGCCATTCCGACCACCATTCTGCGGTACTGTACATACTACCTCGACGCACAAACACCAACGACCATCCCATCCCATCCCACCACCTCACCGTACGTTTCGTGGACAGGTCTGCCCGTGACCAACAGGGCTCGGCCATCCACTGCGGCAGGTCACACTGCTGCAGCTGCAGTTCTCGTTTAGCCTGGTAGAAACGCGGCACCGTTCGCCCTCAACGCCTCTGGTGCTCGCCCCCCACTGCCGGGACGCCTCGCCAACCTATTGGCAGGTGAGCGGACTGCAGCAGTGGGGGTGTGGGGGTGTGTGCATCTGACTGAGGGCACTCTCTGTGTTGATGTGCTGCTGCCTCTCAGACCGTCACATCCGTCACACAATGGCTGCGCCGCATCCCCCACCAGCACCCGTTCCACCTCTGCATCCCCGCCCTCCGCCACTCATACCCTCATCGCCCCAGCCACCGGCAGTGGACCAGACAGCACAGCAACAGGCCCAGCTGATAGAGCAGCAAGTGGACCACCCGATGGAGGAGGAGCAGGCAGAAGCAGACGTAGCCGGCGCGGTCGATGCAGGTGGAGTGAGCCCGCAGCACCAGAATGACGAGCAGCAGCAAGAGGATCAGCCAATGGCCCCCGACGACCAGCACGAGACAGGCGCCCACTCATACGCACCCCCAGGCCCACCAGCACCAGGACCAGGACCAGGACCACCCCGCGACAGCACCGACCAAGCAGGCGCCGATCGGGAGAGGAAGCATGTGTCACGCGAGGGGTCTCCCGCACCTGCCGGCAACAGGCAGCGGACGTCAAGCGGTCAACCGGAGCTCTTACGGGACGTGCTGCGCAACAAAGTCATTCCCGATTACCTCAACAAACACCTGCCAGACTTCAGCGTGGCCGACGAGGGCAACGGTCAGCGGTTTATGGTGACGTTTAAGGTGACGGCATGGCGGGGCTATGGGGACAATCGGCCTCCGGTGTGGGTGCGGGGGGTTGTCAGCCGTGATCACGGCGGGAGGGGGTGGGACGTGAGCATGCTGAGCGACCTCTTGGTGGCTGTCCGCAACGGCACGGCAGACAGTGACGATCGCTTCGAGAGTGTGTCTGATGTCATCGATGGCCTCGAGCGGACCGTCACACAGTGGAGACCTGCAAGTGAGACAGGAAAGAGGGAGCAAAGAAGGCTGGGGGACTTCGAAGCACATCGTGTGTTGTTTTCCCATATGTGCAGGATTGAGTAGTGTGCCTTACTCCGCCTCCGACAGTGCACCCGGTCCCTCGACAACATCTCCTGCTGCTGCTGTCGGTGGGGCGGCTGAGCCACCTCACGATGAGTCACCCCACGACAAAGGTACGTACCTGCATGTGACAACCATATCAGCCGAATCATCGACCGACACACATTCATCGTATCCGGCCTGCGTTGCCCTCTCAGGTCTCGTGCCAGCCAGGAAGCACGCCAAGCATCGTCACAGTCACAGTCACAGGCTCCGCTCCTCTGCGAGGGCCGGTAAGGAAGCGCAGCAGGGAGGCCCCGCCCATGACAAGTCGGTCGATCGCAGCCGGTCACTGGAGGATCGCCACACACACCCACTCGGCAGCAGGCCCCCAGCCCACGAGAGAGCACCGACTTCAACAGTGGATGAGAAGTCCAACGCCAGGGAGGGCAGGTATCAGTCAGACGTGAGTGGGGTATCCTGGTCTGAGAAGTGCCAGGCCTGGGCGGCGACTTGGTACGACACGGGCGACGGCAAGTCAAAGATCAAGTGCTTCTACATGAAACATCACGGATTCGACAAAGCGAAGGTGCAGCAAAAGAAAGCATAGAAGCATTTGTTCCTGGCACCTATCATCCTTTCATGTGTGTCATGTGTGCGCCAGGCGTTGGCCGAGCGGCATCGTCGCAAGATGGAGCGCACCGGCCAGGCGGCGGTCAGGGGGCGATCGGAGCACCAGAGCGGCGTGCGGGGCGTCAACTACAACAAGACATTCAACGCATGGAAAGCTGACTGGCAGGTGGACGACAGCAGGAGGTACAAGTCCTTCTCCGTTGACCAGCTTGGCTACGAGGAGGCCAAAAAGGCCGCCATCGCGCACATACGGAAGACGTTCCACAAGAAGAGATCGGAGCATCAGAGCGGCGTGCGGGGCGTCTACTACAACGAGAGATGCAAGAGCTGGGTGGCCAGCTGGCAGGAGGCCGGCAAGCAGAAGCGCAAGGCCTTCTCCGTCAAGCAGCTGGGCTACGAGGAGGCCAAAGAGGCGGCCATTGCGCACAGACGGAAGATGGAGCGATTGCACACGTCAGAGGGAGGGGCGGAGAGCCATGGCGACCAGGCTGACTCAAGAAGTGCCGACGACGGCGACGATCCTCTGCCCGGCAGACAGCGACAGGCCCCTCAGCTGCGTCAAAGTGGTCTGAGGAGCGGTGTGCCCTTACGTCCCATTGCTCGCCCTGACACCAAGCGCCAGGACCGGAGAGAAGGCCGACCCAACCGCAATCCCTCACATCTGCGGGAGGGCCCCAGTCGTATGACGCCACTCCAGCGGCAGCGGCAGAATACGTCAAAGGCCGAGGCGACGAGAGATGAGGGCCGCAGTACCCCCAATGGTGATGGTGCGATTCACTCGGCGCGCCGCCACGGCCCCCCAGCAGCAGGCCAGGTGTGGGTGGGATGGAGGGCGGCGACCTGGCTGCTGCCCTCGTCGAGGTCCTCAGCAGCAACAGCGACGAGTAAGACAGACAGGGAAAGGGCCACACTTGTCGCGTGTGTGCATGTGTGTGGGGCTGGCTCTTTCGCGCAGGTCCAGCTCCGAGAACGAGCTGCTCATCGACCGGCCAGCAGCTAAGCGCCATCGTGAGGACTCGGGCGGCGGAAGGGATCGCCATGTGTCGGCGAAGCTCAGCGAGGCGGGCGGCCATTTTCTGGCGACCAGCCTGGTGGCGCAGGCAAAATTCGCGGACTCTGATGCTGCTGACCGACAGCAGCAAGGGGCTGGTGCGTCGGTGCCAGAGGGTTCGATTCGTGATCAGTCATCCGACCGCAGCCCCCCCCGGAAGCATTGCCGCCGAGAGGCGGCTCTCGCCAGAAGCAGCCCATCCGTAGCGGACAAGCGGCCGAGCTCCAAAAGTGGCAAGACAGCCGACGGCCCCGAGGGCATACGAAGGGCTGCCGAGCACCGATCAGACGTGTCGGGTGTCTACTGGTATGAGCCGGGTCAGGCGTGGGCGGCACACTGGCGCAGCACGAGGGACGGCAAGCAGGAGCGCAAGTGTTTCTACGTCAGAGACCATGGCTTCCACAAAGCAAAGGTACCGAATCGCAACGTAGCACCCCACCTCCATCTCACTCTCTATTTCCCCAAACGTATGGATCAGGCGCTGGCCGAGCAGCATCGTCTCAAGATGGAGCGCACCGGCCAGGCGGCGATCAAGCATCGATCGGAGCACCAGAGCGGCGTGCGGGGCGTCACCTACAACAAGAAAGTCAACTCATGGCTTGCCTTCTGGCAGGAGGGGGGCAGCAGGAAGAGCAAGCACTTCATGGTCGAAAGTCTTGGCTTCGAGGGTGCCAAGGAGGCCGCCATTGCCCACAGACGACGGAAGATGGAGCGATTGCACACGTCAGAGGCAGGGGCCAAGAGGCATGGCGACCCGGCTGACTCGACAAGGGCCGACGATGGCGACGATCCTCGGCCCGTCAGACACCGACAGGCCCCTCAGCTGCGTCAAAGTGGTCTGAGGAGCGGTGTGCCCTTACGTCCCATTGCTCGCCCTGACACCAAGCGACCGAGGCCCCGCAGAGACGGCCGACCCAACCGCAATCCCTCGCCGGACATCGAGGCCCCCAGTTGGCTGCGGGAGGGCCCACCGGCTACGCCGCCGACGCGTCACACGGCCAGTCGCGGCCCTCGTGTGCCCCCGGTCGAGCAGGGAGACCTCATTCGCCACTTCTACCAGCAGCTGGAGGCACTCGGGCGAGCCCATCCCGACACGCCTCTGTGCCTGCGGTTCAGGAGTGGGTCTGCCCTGACCCAGCTGGCCGTCGAGGTGGTCCTGCCCGGCACCCCAGTGCAGTCGGTGCCCCTCTCAGCGGCCACCAGGGAGGTCATGGGGGCGGCCATCGATGCCGCATGGGCATGCCGCCAGCAGGAGATGGACATTGACGGCACTGAGGACCAGCAGCCCATGACACACGCCCAGCGGATGGTCCTCTGTCGCCTGTATGGTCAAGTGGGTCACAACATTGGGGCGATGTTGGCGGCCGTCCCCTCTCTGAGTTTTGCCTCCATCGACTCGTTTGTGCGCCGTGAGCTGCCGGCCATGGTTGGGCAGCGTGACGGCGAGGACATCAAGGAGGCCGCCAGTCGATTCATCAAACAGCTTCAGAAGACCAATCAGCAGCACACCACACCAGCCCTGCCCAAGCCGCTCAAGGCGGCAGATGACGAGCAGCTGCCGGGTGGTGACGAGCTGGCCGACATCGACATGACAATGCGGCCGCCACCCCATCAGCCGGTCAAGGGCCCACACGCACCCAATGTGCCGCAGGCAGGAGATCCGAATGAGGCCGATCGCATGGTGGATGGGGAAGTGGGTGGGGGGCGGCATGGTGGGCATGGCAACGGCGATGGCAATGGAGGGAGGGAGGAAGGGGTGATTCCATCGATGAGTTGACGAAGGTTCAGCTGTGGCCACCTGGCGATGGTGTCAGGGGTGAGGGATGCTTGGCCCCAAGTCAGTCGTGGGACTCAGCTCGTCTGGTGTCGGCCATCGAGCATGAGATGGGCGTCATGGCCGCCGACAAGAGAGAGCGGCACGGCGGCAAACTACAACACGTCATCGACAAAGTCAAAGAGGTGAGTCCACACACAACACACACAGCACATGAGTTGCACATCCAACCATCGCTGTCTGTCCTGTGCTGTGCTGTGTGTGTGCAGTATGGCATATCAGGCATGAGCATGTCGCTGCTGGTGGAGCCGCCCCAAGACAGCGATGGGTCTGATGAGGTGCGGCTGGAGGCGGCACTCATAGACGCGGCCCGAGAGGCCGTCTTTGGGGGCATCATCCGTCGCACCATCAACCGACAAGATGGATGAGCACTCGTGTACAGCAAGGAACCGGCGTGCATACACACATCGCACTCCACTATCTTTTCGTGATCGTTTCCTCGCACTCGTTGTTTCCCTGTATGTTGTCCTTCGCGCCATCGAGCCGCTGTGTCCACGCACTCACGTTTGTTCTTCTTTTTCCTACGGCACATGGTTGTCTTGACGCAGCTGTCAGCCGGCAGCTGGTCACATAGGGAGGTCCTTCTTTTTTTTGGGGGGGGGAAACTGTCATTAACCGTAACACTCGTCTGTGTGTCCGTGATACTCATACAAATACAGTCCCATCAGCACGCAGAGTCAAACAGGCTCAAGGGGAGGAGGGATCAATCCCCG